TTACCTTTACACCTACTTCGAATAATCTTGGTGGGCGATTAATCGAAACTCCCTAACTCTCGAATATATGAAGAACACGATTTTCCTCTTCCTAATAGGACCTTAAAATCAGATCTCATACACACACATAGGAGAGGTTTAGACATGGTGTATTTATAGGCTACATTAGAGACCTTAAAAAGGTGCTAAATATGGGCTTATCCCATTAGGCTTAGGAATCCTAATTATGCTCCATATCTTATCCCATCTAGAAGTCCCATTCCTCCTAACCTTTATTACCTTCTAGAAGACTACATAGTCTCCTAACCCTAGGTAATATTCTAGAAGGACTATTCTTCTCCAAATGGAATCTTAATTATGGAATATAATCAATTCCTAATTAAATAATAAAACATTCCACTAGAGTAATATTATTGCTCTGCCCATTTAGCTCCAATTTATTCAATAAATTCGAACCTCCACTTGATTAAATTATATTAATCTAATTGACCGATTTATCTCCCCATGTTTAAGATATAACGTCCGTTGATTAATTAAATTACAGACAAAATAATTAATCAATCTCTTATTCATTTTTAAAATTTGTAGCACTCAGATCCTTAATCATTATGTCGAAACACATCCGCCTGCAAGGCTTGACATAATATTCATTCCTGAGCTCATTTCGGGGACGTCATCAACCCAGCGCACTGGACACAGTGACCGTAAATAATTTATAACAGCACATCATATAAACACACTTATTTACCAAAATACCGAGTATGTCATTTTAGAAAAATAAGAATCACCATTGGTAAATTAAATAAACAAGTAATGAATACATATGCCCGTTTTATATTATCTTACAGCTTAAGAGTACGCATCAATTACTGAAGGTCTAGATTACAACAACGGTCAGTGAGTCTCATAATATTATCCTTCTGTGGTCCTGTTCAACACCTATCATAAGTGCTAGTGTAATCCTCCAGTCAAAGACCAACTGAATCAAGAATACACTATAGTCTTTGTCCAAGAGGGGTCTCACTGTCTGTCTAGACTGGGAACTTATATTTTAGTCTTACAAGGAACCGATAGGTGATCTTTATGTTTGAAACACTTCAAACCACACTATCTCAATGTAAGACAAGGAGTATGATTGCATAAATAAATAAACTGCAAGCATATGTACTTTGACCGAAACATGATGGCCATGTCAAAATGGAATTGCTAGAGTCTGCAAAACCGAGCTTTTACAGCATACCTCTAACAAAAAGATCACCTTCTGGTCCTCAGAACTATAATTAACCCACCATTCGTTCCTTTGGGATAGAGTACAAACACTCGTGCTTCCGAACATTTGTCCAATTTGCCAGCTTCCTGCACTAACACGTGTGCAGGACTACCCCATACCTGAAACTGTGCGAAACTGGGCTTGCGCCCTTTCCAAATCTCATAAAGAGTAGTCTCAACTGACTTTGAAGGAACCATGTTTAGGATATACGATGTTGTTTCCAACGCCATACCCCAAAACGAATCTGGTAACTTTGAATAACTCATCCTCAACCTAACCATTTCCATAAGAGTCTTATTTCTTCGCTCTACAACCCCATTCTGCTGGGGCGTGCCGGGTGCAGTTAGTTGGGATTCTGTCCCAGCTTCTGATAAGTATGTCCTGAACTCTCCAAATAGGTATTCTCCACCTCGATCAGATCGAAGTGACTTGATACTTTTACCATGAAGCTTCTCCACAACTGCACGATACTCTTTGAGTTTCATAAATCATTTGCACTTGCGGTGAAACAGATAAATGTACCCAAATATCGAGTAATCATCTATAAATGAGACAAATTACTCGAAACCTCCTCTAACCTGGTTCGACATAGGACCACACAAATCAGAAGGAATCAATTCATGCACTTCATAGCTCTTATACCCCTGCCGAAAATGACTTCTTGGCCATCTTACCTTTCAGGCATGATTCGCATATCGGATAATGATCTTCTAATGAACTGAGGAGTCCACTAGATACCAACTTTTGAATCCTCCTAAAGTTGATGTGCCCAAGTCTAAGGTGCCATAGATATGCTTGATTCATCTACGAAGACTCCTTCATCTTATTAGATTTAGTCGTGACATTATTTCATTCTGTTTGCGCAGTGTGGGTGGGTTTAGTTTAAAAACATATAAAATGTCAACTAATGAACCAGAACAAATGAAACTTTTTCCATAGCGAAC